GAAAAAAAATTTTCATAACGAAACCTCAAATAAATTATCAAAAACTCAATATCTTCTCTATCAATCAATATGATTAAATGAGTTTATCCATAAATTGAATGAACAAATTAACATATAAAAATAATGTTGACTCTTTATAAGATAATATAAAAAAATTATGAAATATTTTAACAATAAAAGCTTTTCTTTATAAAGCAACTTTATTATAATGATACAAATTAAATAATAAATTTTTTGGAATATTATTAATATATCAAAATCACTCATAAAAAAAAATATATATATATATATATATATATATATATTTAAATTTAATAAATGGTACATACTTAAATGCAGTTATATACCAGCGTACATTTTCTTGGTTGGTGCAAGTAATGCGTAAAAGGGTGAAAGTTTATGTTTCATCAATACCATGTTGTTTCGTATAAGAATGGAATTGGAAATGAGTACATCTGTACAATACTCTGATGTGACTTATTTTTGTTCAACTGTGATAAAGCAGAAGGGTGTTAAATGTGTTAAGTTGGACATTGGTCTTTGCAAAGAAAAGTAGTGAATTACATGAGAAATTGACTGTTAAAATAAATTAAAAAAAAAAAGATAAATTACGGTAAAGACGAGTAATTGAATAGATGAATTTTCATTGGCTCAGTACAAGCACGGTGCTGCCACTAAAAGTCGTAGATTATCATCGTCGTTAGCTATTAAGAAGGAAGATCTGAAATTAGGAAGACAGGATAGTTGTTCGTCCTTCCCTCATTATTCATGATGGTCTTTTGATGGTAATATAGTAATCTTATTAAGGTTTTCATTTCCGTTTTTATTTGTGCCAATATTTGAAAAAAATTTCATTTTTGATGGACTGTAACTTGGTATTGCATTTGCTTTAATAGAAGAGGTAGAGTCATTTGAGGAACAGAAACAGAGTGAGCAACAATGACTAACAGTGTTTGGTTGGAGTGATTTATTATTCAAAAAGATAGAAAAATGAGTATGACATTCGTTTGTTTCAACTGATATGCGAGGATATGTGAGCGATGATTTGAGGGAAAGTGGGAGAAAAGGTCACTCGCTTAAACAAAGAGATATGTAGAAAAATACACATCGTCAAATAATAATTTACGTATTTATCATTTTCCATCTTATTTACGTATTTATCGCTTAAACAAAGAAATACGTATTTACGTATTTACGTAAATATGCTGTTTTTCGGTGACACTAAGAGAGGTACAGTTTCGTTGTCAACACCAATTCTAAAGAATAGAGAAGAACCCGTAGTCTCGGTAACGATGAGTAATAGGGGTGACGGTGACGGTGACTGTGACTATATTCTATTTCAGTGAGAGGAGTAGTTTTTTTATGTTGGGGTTAGGGAACTATTTTTGGTAACCTGATCAAAAGAAACTTAATTATTTTTGTTCATTTATTAATGTTATAAATTGATGTTTGAAGTAGTTTATTTAATTTGAAAATGTTGATAAATAAAATGCGACAAATGTGAGCATGTGTGTGAATGAAATTTGTATGAGATTGACATTTATGTGTTTAAGTTTTTTATTTTTTTAGTGAAATTGAATATAATGTACAATTTATGTGTTTGGTTTTGATTGTGAATGTTTTGTATTATACAGTGGTAAAGTACATTTTATATTTTGTGGAATGTTTATAATTAACTATATGGCTAGTGAAAAATGTATTAAGAACTATCCCAATCATAAAAAATGTATACAGTGACTCTTTTATTTGGCTTAGTTATAATGATTTTCAATAATAATACAAAATTTCATTCATTGCTTTCAAAAACATGCAAAGAGAGATATGTATTGAAAGTAGAATGACATTAGATCAATTGCAATTGAATAAAAGTGTTTGATGAATCACAACGTTAAATTAAAGAAACATGTGGTAATATTATAAAAAGAGTTGAAAATTGAAAAGATGTGATTGGTGTCTCCAAACCAAATATATAATAAGTATTGTACACAAAAGAAATTGAGGTATTGAATGAAGATTGTATATTAGCGGAAATTGTTACAAACTGTTCTAAAAATAAAAAAATGAAGCAAATGTTTTAATATTTGTACAATTTTTATGTTAAGAGGTGTACCGTTGATAATGAAAATGAGTAAATATGTATTGTTTAGTATGTTTATATAATATGTCATGTTAATAATACATAATATTTTTATTTGTTTGTTTGTATGGTGCTTACCTTAGCTGTAATAACATGTCATCTATCAGTACAAAAAAATATGTTATTTATAGCGATTAAAATTGTAGATTTTAGAAGTTAAAAACCGCTACAAATAAAATTTGTAACAATTAATATAACTGTCATATTTATAGATGTCAAAAACGATTTGTAACAGAATTTTTTTAAATGATGGTATTTATGTCAAAAAAGAAAAACAAAAATTTCAACAATTAAAAACCACCATAAAATACATTATTATTTTCATTTTAATTTAACATTTTGTTGCAATTTGAAATTGTTACAAATGTTATTTTTATAATTAATTTTATATTTCAACAATTAAAAACCGCTACAAAATATATAATATTTTATAATTATTTAAAACTTATTGGAGGTTTAAAAAACCACCAAAAATTATTTAATTACTATTTTTTAATTATTTTATCAATAAATCAAAATTTTAATTATTATTTACAAATTATTTTTTAATAATTTTATAATTAATAATTAAAATAATTTTTTATTTAGAATTACTTTAAAATACCACCATAAGTGTAATAATAATTTAATCATTATAATAAAATCAATAATCTAATGAAATGTATAATATATTTTTCATTTATTTTAATGACATAAAATATTAGTTTGATTCTCACTAAAAAATGGTTAAATTTGTAGTTTTTATATATAATTCACTTTGAGAGAGTACTTAACTAAATATAATTCAATATTAACTAAGATAAAATCAAATTTCATCCTAAAAGTCCAATAAAATTCATCACATTATTCATTAATAAAGAGTATCTAACAAAATACAATGTCAATAGATCCACAAATTTCATAACATATATGTCAAACTTAATGAAAATTATTATCCAATGAGTATCCTCCTATGATATTGACATATTTCATTCACTTGCTTCATCTTGTGAAATAAAAATAATATCATCTTAATATAGTTAAAAATATATATAAAAGATATTAAACTCCATAAAAATAATTAACAACATAATTCTATTAACACAAAATATGAAATACTTACATATAATGTCAAACTTTATGAAAATTACTATCTAAAGAAGATTCTCCTTTTGGTGTTGACATATCTTGTCCACTCTCTTCATCCTATAAAATAAAGATCATAAGCATAATTAGAAATTATACATAAGATATTGAACTTTATACAAGTATTGAATAATATAATTTCATTTAAAACAAACTATAAAGTACTTACAACTATATTACTTGTACTACCAAACATGACACCCAACTCGGGAGGAATGTGTCCTTCTTTCATTTGGATGTATGCAAGCATGACACTTTTTAATGTTTTGACATTTTCTTCAGAAGTTGCTAATTTTTCTCTTAAATGAATAACTTCCTCTTTCAATTGAGAATTTCCACTTGAATCGGAATTTGAGAAATTGCACCCTGCACTTGCTAAATCTTGTGGTAGATCGAAATGCAACACTATGAAGACCTCCTAGTCCTAGACAACGTACACGCCCAGGATGATCCTTTCCCAGCACTTTACTAACGCAATCATTAGCTGAAATTTCTGTAAAATTGACACTTTGACTCATTTCTTGTGTTATTTTCTCCTGTAAATAGAATAAATACAATTGTTTGATATTCATATTAATATTATACAAAGGAGGTTGTAAAATAAGATAGATGCAAAGTCATGATATTTGACTTTAATTAAGGTAAAATAAGGTAAAATAAGCACATCCCTTTAATTACATTTTGTCTCAACAAAGTTGTTTTCAACAATAACATCAGTATGACCACACTAAATAATACAACTTAAACTCAAACATTCTATATGTTTATGATTTATGATATGATTCTGGGTAAAAATATAGAAACTGAAACAAGACAAAGTTTACCCCATACGCTGTTGAAATATGTGGTTGGAAATTGGAATCCTAGATGCAAAGCTTCAAAACCAGAAGGCATATGTATAGAAAGAGTATAATTTCACATGTTTAAACATATTACTTGTTATTAAACTTACCACTATAGATCTTGCCTCCTCGTTAACATAAGATCCATTTTTTTCTTGTGAGTTGCAATGTACAATTCTCCTCGGCCTACAACACGTCCAAGATTTATTTCCTATAATATACATGATTATATAAGTTTAGAAGAATACTATAATTTTTTTTGTTAAATTTAACAATAAAACAAAAATAATTTACCATTTCATGTTGTTTTGTAGATAAAAGTTTTGCACCACCGGTATGAGGAATCTTTTGTTTTTTTCTTACTTCAATATTTCTCTTACATAATTCCTATGAAACAAACAACTTATTAATTCAAAACCAAGTTTAAAAAATAATTATTGATAACAATTATTTGTTATAACTACCTTATATTTTGAACTTAGATGATAATCAACAAATGAAGACCACTGATCTTTGTGAATACCATTAGGAACATTAACAATTAATTGCTCTCTTGATAATGAGCTATCATAGACTCGGTTCCACAAATTCATCTTTTCATTTCTATACTTATTTGACATGCAAAGTGAACAATATCGCTCACCATACGTCAAATTTTCCTGTCTCAGCAGTGACAAGAAACCCTCCAACACCCTCTTTCTGCAAAATTGATATTTATTACCTCCTCTGGTCTTTTAAATAAGAAACAAATGGGTGAAATGAATTAAATTAACTATTTTTATTGGTCTTGATAAACTAGTTACTTGTTTCTATTGGGTTGGAGGTAGTGATAACTGTAATATTATTGGCGCTTCACAAGTAAAATTTCTACTACATACATGTCAGCTCAGCAGCACTCACTTGCATAAAGATGACTGTGTGGATGGATAGAGTGCCCCTTTTGCGGAGGTGCCTTGCTTTCTTCCGGTGGTTCCCAGGATGACTTCATGCAAGCCACATTCATTCCAACATATAGAATATCTGCAATGCTAATCATTCAGCTAAATGCAACACCGATGCAGAAAGCTGCATTAACTTTACAATTTCCAACATTTGCTGTATGTACCCGCATGTTAAAGTGTTGGCAGCACTCTCAGATTGCTGAAAGTCCTTTGGTGGTACTGGTGCAGCGTGAAATATTGGCTATGGAACGACAAATGACATAAAAGTCAGTATCCTACAACGCACTTTTCTTTCTCTCTAAGATAACAAATATTCCACAGACCTGGTTCACTATAAACGGGGATGTCAGTTCATTCGATATGGGCAGGATACGTTCATATAAAGCTCTTTTCAAGTTATCCTCTAAATGAAAATTCTCAGGACTGTTAAGGGGAAGACCAACAGTGATTGAAGAAAGATATACAGGTTGAAGAAAGTAGGAAAGTAATGCTCCTGCAATAAGAAGAACAGTGTCAAAACACTTAGCTTACATGACAGGAATACAACCAAACCCAACCACACTATTCTAATTCATGTTCATATCCATATATCTAACACTATCACACCAACACAAAACTCTAATTTTCATGTTTTCAAAATTGACTAAATTGTTCTGTGATAGATAGCCTATGATACACCTGAAAGCTCAATGTTGTGTTTACAATCAAATTAGAAATTTAGGCCCTACTAATATAAAAAAAGCACAAGATTTATGGAAAATAAATAAGTAAATATAAAACAAGTATCAAAATCATATAGCCAAGTTGATGTAGAATATTTACAATTATACAAACAATAAAAACCTCAATTTCCTTGATCTTCCCTTTGCTGTATTAAATTGTTGTTGTAGAAAAGGAGTATATAATTTATAAATATCACATCACAACTGATTCTCAAGCAAGAACTACCAACATGCAAACATCCCTGGTTTAAGCATATCTAACCTTGAACACCAACTACATTCCAACGAGCTATCTTGTCAGAGCAACTAACTGACAGGGTTGTATCACCACGACCTGGCTTCCTCCGGACCATCCCATGTTGTTGTAAACCGTTATCTGGAATTAATGACAAAAGTATTTCTCCTCAGACAGTCAGACCAAAATAAACAGCAGCAACCTTTAATGATGAATATCCATGAAGTATAAAATATCACCATACATCAAAAGTAACCACTCTACCTTTGATTAGTTCCAAAGTGGCTTTAAACAAGTCAGAAAAATCTGTAAGTTTTATATTTAGCAGTGAATGGAGGCTTTATAAAAATCACTCATTTAAAAAGTAGAATGGCCAAGTGTGGACACTCTCACTTGAAGTTACAATCCATTTAAACTTATGTAAGTAGTAGAATTGGAGAGCTATGGTGATAAATATGATGAAAAGTGAAGAAAGTGATGAAGAGGAGTACAATTATATAAATGACAAGAACTTTACCTGCATCAAAGGGGTGAAAACATGAATGTGTGGGCCATTAATTATAAATTGATAGAGGACAAAAGGTCTAAAGAGTTTTGTATAAATCTAGAAAGAGCATTGTATAAATAATCTAACAGAGCACCTTCTCCTTCACTTCACTTCAGTCACATTTCCTCTGTGTTTGTTTCCCATTCTCAAAGACACTTCACAAACACGTTTCAGTCCAATAATTTTATCATCTTCCATTATTTTATCCCAGTCAAATCTCTCGGCAATGTCATTCAGCAATTCTGCTATTTGCTCATATTTCATAGGACGCAAGTTTCCAAACTCAAAACCAAACTTCTTATGTTCAGTACCTATTCTAAAAGACCACGTGAAAAAATTAACCACCTACAGACATACAAGCTAGTTATCAACACAAGACAACTTAAATTTTAAACCTCCAAGAAAACTAGTGAGGTGCTATATAAACTTAACTAAAAATATAAACTCAAATGAGGAAACTGGATGCAGGACCAAAAACCGCATAATAACTATCCAACGGCGCAAAATCTTAGAGGTAATTGTACCCTTGCACCCTACCGCACCAGAAAACTCCCCGTCTCCCTTATCCTGCGCACTCCGCCACCGCCATCGTGACCACAATGGCGGAAGTGCCCGAAACCAATCCCCACCGCCGGACCCTCCAATCCCCTCCGCACCGGACGCCGCGGAGGAAACGGCTCCGCCGGCTGCAGCAACTGCATCGCAGCCGAGCACCGACATCGTCGCCCCTCCGGCGTTAGCTCCGAAGCGGCAACGCCGTCCGAGTGTCCGTCTTGGAGAGATTGGAGACCAACGCACCGCCGTACGCCGCCGTACACGGTTCGAAATACAAACAGAACAACAACAAAATACAACGAAAATATTAAAAGTTTCGTAACCGAGGTTAAGGAAAAAAAAAAAACGGTTGAATGTAGATTGCCATGCGTCACACAGAGAAGAGAAGGAGAAATTAGCATATACTGTAAATTGAAGAATAAATGATAGATAAAACTATTGTAATTTTCCACAAAAATCACAAACATGTGAAATTGAAAAGTATAACGTAAGAAGGATTAAACTTGAATTGGTGATTGAGAGAGAGGATATGTTACCTTGCACTAAAGGATGAAACGTTACAGTGAAAGATGAGTGTGAAAATGAATGAAACAGTAAAGAGAGAAAGAGATAACGAAGAGAGAAAGAGAAGGTAGAAGAAAGTGAGAGAATGAAAAATGAAAATAAATAAAAATAAAATAAAAAATTTTAAAATTAATTATAATTATTGTGTCGGTTAAATTTTTTGTCATAAATTACATTTAATTTTTACGATTTTTATAACTCGTTGAAAATAAACCTCTAATAATTATGAAATTTTTTGTAGTGTATGAATGCTCGAAATTGGATTGATAACATGACTTTTATGAAAATTTTCTACTCATTAATTTCATGCAAATATTCTAAAGTATATTGACTATTATTTATTAATATTGTAGGTATTTTATTTTGCTTGTAAATTTTGCATGGTTTTAAAATAGTGGCATGAAGATCCATTTTGTTTTTAGTCCACATTTTTTTAGCAAGTTTTAATTGTGGTAATGTTATTCTACATTATTTATTAGTTTGATGGTTAGTACTATATTTATATTAAAATGAGAAAAGATATTGTGATCAATTTGATGAAAAATTTAGATGGAGAACATTTAATTAAGCAGTGGAAGAAGAAAGACTTTGACATTTTGGCTTCTTGTCGGACAACACCCATTAATGACATTATGGGTTGTGAATTGATATGCGAGTTATTTTGTTAACTGATGATATTGTATTGATATGTAATTGTTTGATGCTATTTGTTGTTTTTATAATTTGTTAGATTTTTGTTCTCACTATTTTCAATAACCATTAATATTGTTACCTGTTGGACTTAAAATGTACAAAGTTAATTGTGCTAGACTCAAGTCATGATACTAGTGTTAAGCGAAGAGAACTTGATGATGCAATGGTAATTTACTGATTGAAAATTTTAGAAATATCATGTACTTGTATCATTTGATGTTTTTTATGTATAATTTTTCATTATGTGTTATAGATTAATACAAGTTGATTTGTTTGTTATTTTCAAATGATGACTCAACTATAGTAAATGAGTATGAGTTGGTCCCTCATTAAAGAAATGGATATATTTGTGTTTTTTAATATGATTTTAATATAATAATTTTATTTGACATTATTACATTTGACAAAAATCTTTCATTATTTAATTACGGTTCATTTATGACTGTGAAATATATTTGTTGAAATATATTGAGTTGTGGAATAGGTGGTTATGCTTGACTTTACAATGGTAAAGTTTTTTTCCTTTACATATTTGTTAATGTTATTAGTATGGATGGATAGTTATTCATTTTAATAATATTATACTATATATATATATATATATATATATATATATATATATATATAAACATAAATAGATAAAGTTAAATTTAATAAATGGTATGTAGTTTACATGTAATTATATACATTTTGCTAGTTGGTGTCAGCAACATGAGAAAGAAACAAAGTTTATATTTCATTAATGCAGTTGTTTCATATACAAATGGAATAAAAAATGAGCAAAGTCCAACTGTTACAATGCAACCCTACAATTAACACAAGTGAACACAAGAAATTGATGACCAAAATAAATAGAGAAATTGTGATAAGGACGAGTAATTGAGTCAAGAAGGGTTACATACATTGTAACGAGTGTATTATACTCATATTCGTTGAGTCAAGGTGGAAGCATGGTGTCATCATTAAGATTCATAGACTATCATTGCCATTAGCTACTAAGGAAGAAGGTCTAAACATAAGAAGATGGTGTCGTCATTAGTCCTTCCACCATTACTCATGGTGGTCTTCTAGTAGTAATATACTCATTTTGGTGAAGTGTGTCAATCTTTAGAGGAACAACAATGAGGAACAAAAATAGAGTGGGTAAGCATGACTAAGTACAAGTGTATTGGTGTTTCCTGATGACACTAAGAGAGGTATAATTCCATTTGTTGTAAAACTTAAATTAGGAAGTTTATCTTTGTTGTTTGGTATTCCTAGAATAGTATTAATGGTTTTAGGCATGAGTGGCATAACCAAGAAATATGAGCGACAAACCTATTTAACAAGCATCATGATTTACTTTTAGCATTTGAAAAGGAAAATAGTTTGCCTCTAAATACTTGTAACAACTCATTTAAAAAAAATAGAGAAACATAGAGAGATTAAAAGAAAACAAAGTGTTGTCAATTTTTACTTTCTGCCTATTTGTTGCAAACAAATTGGCATCAGAGCTTGTGTGTGTGAGGTGAACGTGAAAGAACCTACCAAGCCTCAAAAGATAATGTTGCGGTGTGCACTGACCAAGAAAGAGAGAGGAGCGACCGAGAGCTTTGTGAGGTGTGAGTTGAGTGTAAACACTTGAAAGAAATGGCAAGTTTAACCAATGGCATCCCACTACCCAAGTTGACAAAAGACACCAACTATGACAACTGGAAGGTACAAATGAAGGTCCTTCTTGGCTCCCAAGATAACTGGGATGTGGTCGAGACTGGGCATGAGAAACAGGCAAACACAAATGGGTATTAAAATGCCCAGGTGAGCACGTTGAAAGCCATTTGAGCTAAAGACAAGGCGACTTTGTATTTGTTATACCGAATCGTCGACGAATTCGGCTTTGAGAAGATAACCAACGCAAAATCTTCCAAAATAGCATGTGATACACTCGAAAAAGTAAACAAAGGAGACGAACAAGTGAAGCAAGTTCAACTTCAAACCCTTAGGGGTGAGCTAGAAAACATGAGGATGAAAGAGTTTGAAAGCGTATCCGAGTTCATTACTCAGGTGGAGACCGTGGTGAACAAGGTGAATCGGAATGGTGAGAGTCTTTCATCAAACCGAGTTGTTGAAAAGACTTTGAGGTCATTGACGGATGATTTCGAGAATATCGTGTGCACAATAGAGGAGTCCAAGGACTTATCAACGCTCAGCCTTGAAGCGCTTGCTGGGTCCCTAGAAGCGCATGAGCAGAGAAGAAAAAACAAGAAGAGGGAGTCCCTTAAACAGACTCTCCAGGTGAATGTGACAATAAAAGGGGAGAAGGTGTTCTATGCTCAGAGTACCATAGGCCAAGGTGGTAGAGGAAGAGGAGGACGAGGCAATAAGCAAGTCGGTCAACAGAACTGGTATGGTCGAGGTCAGGCTCGGGGTGGTCGAACAAACACAAACAATATTGAATGATATAACTGTGAAAAGTATGGGCATGTTGTCAAGAATTGTTACTCGATAAAATGCTACAATTGTGGAAAGTTTGGTCATATTTCCAAAGGTCATAGGTCCGAGAAGAAAAAGGAGGAACCAACAAACTTCCTTGTAGAGAAAGAAGATGAAGGATTACTGCTAGTGACAAATATTCCAAAAATTGAGGTCAAACCGAGCTATTCTAATAACTCGGTTTGGTACTTGGACACCGGCGCAAGTAATTACATGTGTGGTGACGAGCGCTTATTCAAAATACTTTCAAAGGTGGAGTCCGGATCCATTTCTTTGGGTGATGCTTCGAAAGAAGTTGTCAAAGGTCGAGGAACAATCTGGTATCAACAGATAAATGGGCGAATTGGAGATATCAGAGATACATACTACGTACCTAATCTCAAAAGCAACATACTGAACATGAGACAGTTAATGGAGAAGGGGTACACAGTTCTAATGAAGGACCGAGAACTACAACTGAAAGATAAACTGGGAAGGTTCATTGCTAAGGTAGAAATGAAGAAAAATTGCATGTACAAACTTGAGCTGAAAATAGTTCAAGATAAATGCATGCAACTTGATATGGGGGATGAGGCCATGAAGTGACATTTTCGGTTCGATCATCCTCACTTTGGTGAGTTGACCAAGCTGGTGAAAAAGGAGATGGTGTTCGGACTGCCTAAAATGAAATTCAAAAAAAGGTCCTGTGAAGAATGTGTGATTAAGAAACAAGCGATAACTTCTTTCTCAAGAAGTTCTGAGTACCAAGCAAATGAGCAACTCAGACTGATCCATACTGATTTGTATGGGCCAATAAATCCAGAATCATCCAGTGGTAAGAGATACTTCATCTTTTTCATTGATGATTTCTCGAGAAAGACGTGGGTTTATTTTTTAAAGGAGAAGTCAGAAGTGTTTGAAACTTTTAAGAAATTCAAAGTGATGGTGGAGAAAGAAACAAGCAAAGTCATCAAAGCAGTCTGATCTAACAGAGGACGCGAGTTCACTTCTATTGAGTTCAACAAATACTACGAGGAACATGGGATCAAACATTTCTTGACTGCCCCATATTATCTGCAGCAAAACAGTGTGGCAGAACAAAAGAATCGAACCATTCTCGATATGGTTCAATCTATGTTGAAAGGGAAGAATATGTCGAAGAAGTTTTTGGCAGAGGCGGTGCAGTGTACAATCTATGTGCAAAATAAACGTTCACATGCAAAGTTAGGCGAGAAGACGCCTCAAGAGATCTGGAGTGGTATGAAGCCGAGTGTCTCTCATCTGAAGGTGTTCGGTAGCGTGGTCTATGGGCAAGTACCAAGTCAACACAGGACAAAACTAGAAGATTGGAGCAAAAAGTACATATTTATCGGGTGTGATGAAAAATCTAAAGCATATAAATTGTTTGATCCTATCTACAAGAAAGTGGTGATGAACTGAGATGTTCACGTGGAAAAAACAAAACAATAATGTTGGAGTAACCCGACTGAAGAAGAAACTATCTTGGAAATTGTTGTGCCTTCAACAACAACAACCACCGAGTTCTCAGATGAAGAAATCGAGCCACAACATCCCAGGATGAGAAGTCTACAGGAAATATACGACACTACAAATGAAGTTCATGTTGTATGTCTTTTAGTCGACTCTGAAGACTTGAGTTTTGAGAAAGCTGCCCAAGATGAGAAATGGAGAACAGTCATGGATGAGGAGATTGGAGTGATTGAACACAACAAAACTTGGGAGCTGACCGAACTTCCTGAAGGAGTTCGACCCATTGGAGTAAAATGAGTGTACAAAAAGAAGATGAATGTTGAGGGAAAGGCTGAGCATTATAAGGCTTGACTTGTGGTAAAGGGCTATAGACAAAATGAGGGAATCGACTATGATGAAGTATTTACTCATGTCACAAGAATGGAGTCAATCCGACTTCTGATCTCATTAGCTGCTCAAAACCAATGATCGATTCTATAGATGGATGTGAAGTCGGCCTTTCTAAATGGAGTGCTGAAGGAAGAGGTGTACTTCGAGCAACCACTCGGATACATGAAGAGAGGGGATGAGAAGAAGGTGTTGAGATTGAGAAAAGCCCTTTTACGGGCTTAAGCAGGCTCCTCATGCCTGAAATGAGAGAATTGACAGATATTTCAAGAAAAATGGGTATGAGCAATGTCCATACGAGCATGTTTTGTACACAAAGAAATCATAAAAGGATATGAAGGTAGTCACTCTCTATGTCGACAACCTCATTTTCACCGGAAGGCGAAGCTGATTAAGGAGTTTAAGGAGGTAATGAAGAAAGTGTTCGAGATGACAGACTTAGGCCTGATGAAATATTTTCTTGGGCTAGAAGTGAAGCAGTCGGAGGAAGGGATTTTTATATCCAAAGAGAGGTACACACTTGAAATTTTAAAGAAGTTTAAAATGGAGGACTGCAACCCGATTTCTACTCCAATGGAACCGGGCACTAAACTCTCAAAGTTTGATGGAGGAGAAGAAGCTGATTCTGGGAGATATCGAAGTTTAATCGGAAGTCTGAGGTACTTTACAAACACGAGACCCGACCTAATGCCGAGTGCTGAGATAACAAGCAGATATATGGAGAATCCAAACTACACACATTGGAAGGCCTTAAAGAGAATTTTGAGATATGTTCGAGGAACTCTATCACTTGGCCTTTTTTATTCAAAATCGGATGACAATTGACTAGTGGGTTACTCAGATAGTGATTGGTGTGGTGATGTTGATGACCGGAAAAGTACTTCGGGTTATGTATTCCTACTCGAGAAAACGACTTTTACTTGGCTGTCAAAGAAACAGTTCATTGTAACTTTGTTGACCTGCGAGGCCGACTATGTGGTGGCCTCTTGGACCTTGTGTCATGCGGTCTGACTTTCAAATCTACTAAGGCATCTGGGAGTGATCCGAGACAAAGGGACTGTAATCTGAGTTGATAACAAGTCAGTGATCGAGTTAGCAAAAAACCTGGTTAATCACGGAAGGAGCAAACACTTTGACGCCCGATTTCATTTCATCCGAGAACAAGTCAGAGAAGGAAAGGTTGAATTGAAGCATGTTGGAAGTCGAGCTCAAGCCACAAACGTATTCACCAAGTCACTGCCGACCACACTGCTGAAGAGTTATAAAAGGCTAATTGGAATGAGAGATGGGAAGAGTATTTAAGTTTAAGGAGAGATTTGTTGTAAAACTTAAATTAGGAAGTTTATCTTTGTTGTTTAGTATTCCTAGAATAGTATTAATGATTTTAGACATGAGTGGCATAACCAAGAAATATGGGCGACAAACCTATTTAATAGGCATCATAATTTACTTTTAGCATTTGAGAAGACAAACATTTTGTCTATAAATACTTATAACAACTCATTTAAGAAAAATAGAGAAACATAGAGAGATTAAAAGAAAACAAAGTGTTATCAACTTTTACTTTCTACCTATTTGTTGTCAATACCATTGCTGACACTAATTCTCGATTTCCAAATTAAGAATAAAGAAAAACCCACAGTCTTGATGACGGTGAGCAATAGGAGTGATGATAGTTGTGATTGTATTTTGTTCACAATAAAAGAGTATATTTTTATGTCGTAGTTGGGAAACTATTTTTTGGTAACCTAATTGAAAAAAAAAAACAATTCTTTTTTTTTTCATTTGTGATAGATGAATGTTATAAATTGATTTTTGAAATAGTTCATTTGAAAACCTTGATAAACATAATGAGACAAATGTAAGCACCATGTGTGGATGAAATTTGTATGAGATTGATTTTATTTGTGTTGATGTTTTGTTAGTGAAATCAAACTTAATGTAGAATTTTTGTGCCTTGTGTCGATTGGGAATGTTTTGTATTATGTATTGGTAAAATACCTCTTATGCTTTGTATTATGTTTCATTGAAGACTTATGAACAGTTATATGGTTAGTAAGAAATGTGTTAAGACTAATTACAATCGTGGAAATGTGTGAATGTATTGCTTTTTCATTTGTCTTAGTTATAATGATTTTCAATAATAAGATAAAATTTCATGCATTGCTTTCAAAAACATGCAAATGGAGATATATATTGAATGTGGAACGACAATATGATCAATTGCAATCAAACAAAAGTGTTTGATGTAGAAGAATGTTGAATTAGAGAAAAGTGTGGTAATATTAGAAAAAAAGTTGAAAATATTAAAGGATGTAATTGGTGTCTCTAAACATATAACAAGTATTGTGGATGAAAGAAATTATGAGACATTGAATGAAGGTCGTGTATTAATGGAAGTAGAGGTTAGTAGATTATTTTAAAAATAAGAAATTCAAGCAAATGTTTAAATATTTGTATAAATTTTGTATCAAGAAATATAACTTTTGCAAAGACAATGAATTTGTCCTTTAACAAAAAAATACATATGTATTTAACATGTTTTAATAATAAAAATTTTATTTCACATTATTAAATCTAACAAAAATATTTCATTATTTAATTATGACAATGAAATATATTTATTAAAATATATTGAGGTGTAGGATGATATCAAGTGATGAGATGGATGGATTGACTATTTCTAACTTTACAATAATATATCTTTTTTTTTTGTATTTTGTTAATGTTATTAGTATGATTGGGCAATTATTTATTTTAACTATAGTATACTATTTTTTTAATTGGCCAAGACCAAATTTTAAGGTTTTGCAAAAAATACATTTTATTATAATCAAATTTGTCAACTCAATAAAAAAATAAATAAACTATAATAACAAAGCGAGTGTTTATAATATAAACTCAAAATAATGTATAAGAATAATTATTCAAATAAAATATAGACAATTATTTTTAAAAATTGAAAACAACTTGTTATAATAATACGATTATATATTTATAATTCATTATCTTACCAACCACCATAAATAATAATATAATAATAAATTATATTATTATATTAATATATTTAATCATTGAAAAAATAATTATCAGGAAAAGAATATCATTATTATAATCTTTTTATTATATTTTTTTAATATATAATTACCTATAACCGTTTGTTCAAGTTATACACTATTTTTACTAAACTAAATAAACATATCTCAACAATAAAACTTTTTACAATTCTCCTAATTACATCTATTCAACTAATTCCAAAACATTAGAAAAATAGAATTTAACTTATTCAAGTTAAAGTTTATTATATGTTTTTTTCTCTTAAGATTAAATTTACATCTAACTCAATTTTTCAATACAAAACTAGATTGTTTATAAACATAATATAATCATAAGATTTTTAACATAATTAAAAAACTTATTATGGTTTAATACATTACAACTAACGTCATTTATAATACGATATTGCTACTATTTGAATAGTTTTTCCATAGGATTCAAACACAAAATTTGTATTCGAGTTAAAAGGATATATGGGATTGTTGTAGATATTTAATGGTGTGAGAGAAAATGATTAATCCTATTAATGTTAATACAAGTAGGAGTAAGTGAATATAGGCATAGAGAGAAATTGAAAAAGATGATAGAGGAAGATATGTTATGTAATGGGGGTTCCTTTCACTAGAAAGGTTATGATAGTGGAACTAATAAGTACGATTGGTCATTTAACCACTAACCTAGAATTAGTTCCTCACTAATCTAACTTGCTTTTGCAACAAAAAAAACTATGCCATCGCAAATTGGGCTAACCTGCTTCCATTACGTGGAACGCAAATTGGGCTTTCTAACAACTTGGTTTTCCTCCATAAAGAGAAACCTCGTGCCAACCTATGAGTTCTCGAATTGGACCACATCAACATATACCAACCTTCACTAGCATCCAACAATGCCTCTCAAATTATACTCCTAATTGCGTCACCTAATTAATTTGAAGGCGAGATTAATTTTAATTACAAGGCCTATGCATGCCTAATGACCTCTTTCTTGCCATTTGTTTATGTGGAAATCAATCCCAACAATGCATAATATGTTCACTATCTTTGACTTTATGCATTAAAATATCACTACAAAACTAAAAATTAGTGGGATCTTAACATTTGGACATTCTCCAATAATCTTTCAAGTATCCCACTTTCTTTCTCAACCAACAATAAATCACAGTCTTTTTTCACCCACATGGAATATAGTGTATATTTTTAAATCTCACGCGCACTATGCTTCACACTTCATTCTTTATCAATAAAAAGGAACTTATTTTAGGTTTATTTTTAAAGATAATACTGTTTTAGCAACTTTTTCTGTTCAATATGATACTTTTATTATTACTCATTATGTTATGAAATAAATTATATTGAAAAGAAAAAAAAATGTCTTGTGGTTCCATTCACATTCATAATTAATTCAGTTATTATTGTTATTCAACAAACTTCTTCAATATTCCTCTCTCCAAAGGGGTACCCTAGTCATTACCACTTTGTAGGGTTAAAGTTTGGTTTACTGTGTCAAGGATCAATTTTGCAAAGTAAAACCAATACCATAATTTCTTAACGTGCATATACTTTACCCTTCTGTGCTAAATTAAGCGATGTATTGTTATCGTATAGTTCAAATTACAGAAAAAAAATATCAGTTATTTACAACCTTATTGATGTAATATGATAAAAAATATTATGCTTTGGGTACAAGAAATATGAAATTATTGAAATTACAATTAAATTAAATAACAATAAAAGTAAGACCGTGTGTATTTATTTTTGGAGAGGGCGTTTGATACCTACACCAGTCAATAACGGAGTTTTTAATATTCTTGATGAGATTTCAAGAAAATTTGGATATATGTTTAAAAGATTTGATGTATAACAATAAGATTAAAATTACAAATAATATCACATAACAACCACTTAATATAAAATATATATCTAACCACTTTATAATTGCTAGTGTATTAATGATGAGATCTCAACTTTTTAAAGAATTTATAAAAGATTTTAAAGAAGTCATAAGTTTTATCACAAATTATTAAAAACTCATTTTTAAATTTCAGTCTCTCTTTTTTATTTGAAATTTAACTCAAATAATTATTTTAATGATAAAACGGATTTGCATGTTATATTTTTATTGGTCTCTTTTTAGTTTATAAAAAATAATGTGAATATATTTTTATATTATTTTAAAAAATATATATTTAATTATATAAATAATTTTTAAGTTTTTATTTATTTATTAATTGATATTTTATTAGATAAATTGAAAATATTATTATGTTTATATGTTAAAATGTTTAATTATTATTAATAATTTAAATTTAATTAATTAAAATTTATAATTCAAATTATAATATTGAAATATATTTATATTTTTTAATAATATAAGAAAATATAATATTTTTAATTATAATTTTTTATTTTAATTTTAATATATAAATTTTTTAAGAAAAAGATAATGGATCAATCTATTCCAACTTATTTTAGACCCCATAAATTAACAAACTAAACAAAATAGACCAAATCAGATGCTGAAACTAAAATGATCGCTCTGAATTTATTCGTCTTCTTGTATTTACGCTTACTTATTCTTCTAACGTAGTTATAGTTAAATGTTTTGAAGCTTATGGATGAACTTATCTTGTAACTCGGATGTAAGAAGGATATTTAATTCCTTTAGCTGTCATCTTATATTGGTGTTTAACTAGTTGATTTTTTTTTTAATTAAATTTGATGAGAAGGCTATCTTTTATAACGAAGAGGTTTCATTATCTAATAAATTGGTATGTCAGAGTATGTACTTCTAAATTCCAGTAAAAATTTGTGACCAAATTATTGGAAACTCTTAATGGAAGTAATTAATTTTATTGGAGGTTTGTCGTTTTAGGGAGTGTTCTTGGAGTTAAAGTGGATACAGAAAACATTCCCATTGGCAAATGGAACACTGAGTGTATGCATATACATCTTCCCACAAAAGAGATATTATAAGGTAGTAATAATGTTGATGAAAAAAATTAACTGTATACGAAAATATAATTCAATGATATTTTATTCAACGACTAATTATAACTATCTTTACCCTAATTCCCTTTAAAAAATTGAAGTCAATCAAAATAATAATCATACTAAGTACAATTGATTACGAACCTATACAATAGCTGAACATGGTTTTCGGGTTTTAATTGGTTCATGTCTCATTCACCTTGCCACCTTTTTTTCTTACTCGTTACCCTTCAACCCTTTCAGTTACTAAACTCAACAAAAGTAATGATTGTAGAATCTCAGTGGAAAAAAATAAAAGAGATAGGAAGGGGGAAATACATTATCGGCTTACTGTAAATATGAGGAAAACCACTCACTTTTATTATTAATATATTATGTGTATATCCCAATGAAAGATATTCAAACTCATTAAATATGAGGAAAAACAAATGCTAAAAGATGTTTGGGATTTTAAATCCTAGATATATTCTCCATGAATAATTATAAAAGAATGAAACAATTTTTTTGGATGATTAGAAAAATTATATATAAATTGAAATCATTTTTGAAAAATTAATTAACTGGTAATTACCATGTTTGTTTAGACACTTAATATATGACAAAAGTTAAAAAAAAAATGATTTTCTGTAAATTTTTTTAATCTTGATGTTGTTCTTCAATTTGAAAGGGTAGTAAATACAAAGGCTAGGAGGAGGCATAGGTATGTCCAGTGTTCCCATCCAACCCTTGTCTCGTGTTTGAAGCCTTTCCCCAGCCATTGTCAAGATCACGTTTGGACCGCATTTGTTGCTCTGCTAAACCACTGTCGTACCACCACTCAACTCAATCACCTTTCACCCTACCAACTACTGATGTACAACCTACATCAACCTAAACATTTCACCTTTAACCACCATCAAACCCAGTTCGTTTCCAAATGTTCCCTGCATTTGGTTTTTCTCAAAGATTCTCCACTCTATCAATAATCATACACTAATTTCTTTTCAAGACATGATCAAACCCAGCACGTTTTAGATGTGTGCCAAAATGATTGTTTATCAACAAACCCTAGCTTCGAAACTGTTTGATTGGTTTGAGACATGGCGTGAAACCGTGGGACATGGCAATTTTGGGTACAAGAGTGTAGTCTTACACGCCTATTAGTATTATCAATGCAACTCACTTATTACTTATGTGCACACCAAATATCTGATAGCATAATAATTTATCGATCTCTTTATACTATGATGTTTTATTGCATTCACTTGTACAATGCCCACTGCTCCTTTAAATACCTTATCAAACTCACCCATTACAATACTGTGTCCTTTCTACTCTCTTCTTCAATCGTACAATCTCAATAAATATGAAAATTATATTATTAACTTGCTATACTCAATCTCCAAGAAAAACACTCACTAGAAAAGGAGTATTTATAGAAATTCTAATATTTAACACTTGTCTAATACCATATTTACATGTAATCATTTCAAATTAAACAATTTAAGATAAATATTTTAAAAATTATAAATAATGAACTCACCCAATTATAGATGTGAAAAATAATTAATTATGTGAACATATTAAATTATATGATATTTATCATAACATTATCTAATTATATAAATAAATTATTTATTAATTTAAAATATTTTAAAATATATAAAAGAATTTATATTATTTTAAATGTATACTTTTTACTATCTATCATATACTTTTCCTAATGCATAATTGTTTATCTTAATTGTGTGAGTTTTAAAATATTAAATAAGTTTAATCACAATGCATAATTTTGTAAGCAACTATATACTAAGTATAACTACTGACACTACTTTTACTTTTCTTAAATCTTGTGAATCAATTTTTTTTTCAACTAATTCATATAAGCAATTGCATAGATGATAGTCTATGGTTTCATTTGTGGAGAAGGGAACCTTAATTATTTGATTTGAATATAATAAAATTTTTGAATTTTTATTTTATTAAGTATAGAAAGATATGATTGTGCCCTATTTCAATTAGAGTTGTTGGCTGAAAATTTAATAAGTGACGCTTAGAAAAATAGAGTTTTACGTGTGTAATTATATTTTCGTGACAATTTTGGTGTGTGAATAGTTATAATACTTTATTATCTAAAGTGTATTTTTTATTTATTTAGAATTAATGTGATATATTTAAATTTTGAGAGAAAAATGTGAGATTCATTCAATATAAATAGTCATACAGGGATTTAACACGAACCATTTTAAAAATAAAATCAAAATAAATAAAAAATGAAAATAAGTATATATTTTTTAAAAATCAATCAATTCGTTCAGTTTTTTATAATTAGTTAGTATAATATATATTTTTAAGATAAATTTTTATGTGAATGAATTAACTTTTTTTATAATTTAAGATATGTATTATTAATTTTTAAATTATATAAAAAAGTGAATAAATATTATAAATAATTATGTATAATATTTTTATAATGTATTTTTTATTTAAAATTATTTATTATAATATATTTAACCGTTTTATCATAAAAATCACCGAAACCATTGATAAAATATTAGTTTTATTTAATTTGATTTTTTTTAAATAAAATAAAATTAAATTAAATAAAATTATAAAATAAATACTGTGACATAAGATATATTTATACATAGAAAAATATTTTACAAAAATTGTGCCTGTTATATTTTTTGTGAAAATGTTGCTGTTACAAAAATGAAAATATATTTTTTATAACTTAAGAAAATTAATGTAATAAAAATGTCATATTTATTTGTATTAAATAATGTATATTATTAAAATATTTTTTAATATAAATATTTAAAAAAGTATTGGGCAGTATTTGTTATTAATTTTCTCTCCTTAAGTCAAGTTAAATCAAATATTTTTCCAAAAAATATAATTAAGAATATTTAAAAAAAATAACTTTTCATATAAAATTAAATAAACTTATCTCATCTAACTACCATTAAAATATTGATGTTCTTGCAAGGGGAGTAATCAGTTCAACCATTAATCAACCTAATGTCCTAAAGTTAAAAATAAGAATGAAACAAATTTTAATTAATTCAGGATAAAATTGTGTTGAATTGGTTATTAATAATAATAATAAAAAAAAACTGACTGGTTAGTTGGGTTCTATTAAGATGTAAATGAATTTTATTTATTCTTGATAAAATTTAATATGATATATTAAATTTGTTTATTTTGTAATATAAAATTATTTTATTTATATTATGAATTATCATATTTTTAAGTGAAATTTAAGTTTAAATTTTAAATTTATTTATATTATTTTTTTAATTATTTTGTGTTTTTATATTTGAGTAAATCTTATTTGTATCCTATTTTTTTAATTAATAATAATTATAGTTTTGAGAATAGATTGAGATTCTTTAATTGTTTTATTAAGAGAAACAAGATATTAAATGATATATTTGACAATTAAATGGTATATACTTCATGAATATATCAAATTATTATATTTAAAAATCAAAATAATAATATTTTATTAAAATTGGTTCGGTTCTAATTAAGTGGAGGATATACTGCCTACCCCTAACGCTCCATCAATTTGGGACCCAAATGGTATTTTCAATCAAACCGCTCACCCTAGTTCGTTACTTCGATGGACAAAAAGCACAATGAATTAGTTGGACGATTTTTTAAGAAAAAAATTATAATTTAAATATTTATGCTTAATCAACTAATAAAAAATTTAAAAATTTTATATACTTAAGTATATTTTTAATTTAAATATTTATTTATATTAAAAAATGACGGACCAATTTATCAAATCCTTTTCTAATATGATGAATCAGATCTTCAGCTCGTGTGGAGGACTAAGTAATCCGTTTTAACATCTGTGTTGGTCACTGTTACTGTTTTAAAAACTTTCCCAAAAGCTACAAAGGAAGAATGGTTAGAAGACAAATTTTTTCTGTTTCTATAACAGTGCATTTCCAATGTTACCCTCCATTACAAAAAATCTTTTGTATTCTTTTCAAGTGTTTTCTTCTACCTTTTTTAGGTAAATATTCTGTTTCGCATTTATATCTGGACTACTGTAACTACAAATTTTGTAGTTGCCACTTAAATACAGACTAATTAAATGTAAATAAATATACATGAAAATAACTCAAAATTAAGGAATAACTAGAGGATTTTTATATGATAATTAGGAAGGATTTATTTATCAAATTATATAAACATATATTTTTTATTTTTACATCACAATATGTATATTTGTTAATTAATTTAATTTAATATAAAGAAAACTGTATAAGAAAGAATACGACAATTAAAAAAGTTTTGATTGTATTTGAATCCAAAACTACTACTGTAAAAAAAGAAAAAAAAAAAAAAAAGAGGACAAAACTGAAAAAGAGGGCAGTTCAGTGAGTAAATGACATTGTCAGCCCTTAGCAGAGTGCGGAAATATCAGAAGAACGCCACCTCTAATTTTATATCACATAGCATTTTCTATTTCAATTAACATCACAAAGCACTATTAGTTCCTTAATTAAATACACACTAGATATGTATGCAGGTTAATTAGCAATAAATTATTTAAAATACATGCAAGGGTCACTCTCATGCAAATATTTTTTGGTTCTAGTAGTGGCTAATTTGTGGTAATTTTATTAGTAGAAGTAACTCCTATAAATAAACAATAAACACAGTGGGAGAAGCTGATGAAGAAATAGAAGGTGAAAAGGGTGGGAAAGAAAAGGAAAAGAAAAACTAGAAATAAATGTGCGGTAAGTCTTTAAGAAGAAAAGAAAAGGAGAAGCAACTGAAGAAAAGCCCACACTCTTCACTCTTCACTCTTCTTCCTGCATGAAACTCCCTCCTATTCTTATACGGTTCGATCACTCCACCATTCCACAATGATGTGAAGGTCGTTACCGTAGGAGATTCGATCGCTCTCCCTCCGCTTCTAACTAACTTTACTTTCCCTCCAAACCGTTCCTTAACAGCTTCTAACAAACTCACACCTCCTCTCACAGCGATGCTGGATCTCAACCTCAACGCCGACTCCCCCTCCCATAACAACCACACGCCGCCGCTTTCGGCCGCGCAAATGGAGAGCTCCGGAAGCTTCAATTCCTCCGTTGTCAATGCCGCCGACACCGATGACTCCTGCTCCTACGGCGACGCCGTCGCCTACAACTTCGCCATCCTCAACAACAACACCGCTGCCTCTGCCGCCGGAGAATCCTCCCTCCGTACCATCCAGCTCTTTCCGGCGACCGACTCCGGAGCTTCGCCGGCATGGCTGGACTTCTCGTCGAAGGTGGATCAGCACGATACCGCGGCGGAGCAGAGGATCACGCCGCGACAACCGCAGGTGAAGAAGAGTCGCCGCGGGCCGAGGTCGCGGAGCTCGCAGTATCGCGGCGTTACTTTCTACCGCAGAACCGGACGATGGGAATCGCACATTTGGTTAGTGGATTTTTGAAGTTTTGCTTTGTGATATAACACCTTTCCGTTAGTTACTGAACAAGTTGTGTGGTTTTCTTTTGTGCAGGGATTGTGGGAAACAAGTGTACTTGGGTGAGGACGCGATTAGAGGATTCGTTTTATATTATGTGCTTCACCTTTCTTCAATATCGCTTCTTTTTTTTTGTAGGTGGATTTGACACGGCGCATGCCGCGGCTAGGTAATTTCATTTCTATCAATTTCGTGCTTAGGTGTTTTTGGTTTTGTTTAAGCGTGCAAAATGTTTCCTCTGGTTTTATAAATATTGTAATAATTTTGTTTCAGGGCTTATGATCGGGCTGCGATCAAGTTCCGCGGGGTTGATGCGGACATCAATTTTAACGTTAGTGACTACGATGAGGATATAAAGCAGGTTGTGAGTACTGAACACTGAAGTGGTTTTCGTGTGTTGGTTGTTTAAGAAGCTTGAATGGAATTTTGTAATTGTGGATTTGATTTTCGATTATTGCGATGTGCAGATGAGTAATTTCACGAAGGACGAGTTTGTGCATATTCTGCGTCGACAAAGCACTGGTTTTTCAAGGGGAAGCTCCAAATACAGGGGAGTTACTCTGCATAAGTGCGGGCGATGGGAAGCTCGTATGGGGCAGTTTCTGGGTAAAAAGTGAGAAAACAAATATATTTGGTTGAATTAAGTGATGGATGAACTTCACATGCTCTACCCATTTTTTCATTAGTTTTCGATTTTACTATGAATTAAGTGAGATTGTGTAGGCTGGTTTAGTTGGTGATAGATCAGAATTCAATTTTAAAGTTGTCCAGGGTTTATTGCTGCAGGTATATATATCTTGGGCTATTTGACAGCGAGTTAGAGGCTGCAAGGTTTTACCAATCGTATATCAGAATATCTCTCAGACTAAATTCCTAAACATTTTGGATTCCATGTATATACAGACACACGCATAGTGTGTTATTATTGACTTGCTGTGTAATAATTCCAGAGCGTATGATAGGGCTGCTCTAAAATGCAATGGAAGGGAAGCAGTTACAAACTTCGAGCCCAGCATATATGAAGGGGAGGTGATTTCCCAGTCCGATAATGAAGGTGCCACTTGTTAATCATTGAGCTCTTCCATTTATTTCAGTCACTTTATAATCTACTTATTAAATAAAGTCGTGGATTAACATTTGACCATGGGTTTATTTTTCAGATAGCAAGCAAATTCTCGATCTTAACCTGGGAATAGCTCCGCCGTCTTACTCTGACAGTCAAATCAAGAACACATCCGGGAACGGGAGTGGTTTGAAAGCTCCACCCAGTTGGGATGATATCCCTGTCGAAAAGAGATTTATGGTAAGGTGGAGGAGTGGTGTATGGCCGCCATATGGTTGAATTCAATTCTTCTTTAAGTCTGCACTGGACTCCCTGCTTTTTCATCTGTTTCTGACTAGCAGTTTGTTTTCTTAGCTTTGATGTTAAATTTTCACTCGTTTAATAGTTTGAGCACTCTGGATCGAGATCTCTGAATGTTCAGCCATCTCAAGGCATCTCCATAGTATCTGGGCATCATCCTTCCGCCTGGAATGGTAGCAATTTCTTTCCCATTTACGAGGTGATTCTCATGTATTCTTATGGCGTGGATAACTAGTTTTGCTTGATATATATTACTAATTAGCGATGAGTAATTTTGGTTTATATTTTACAGGAAACAGCAATAGAGAAGAGGATGGAAGCTGGTCCCATGCCACATTGGGCATGGCAAGTCCAAGGTCCCTACGGCGGGGCAACCCGTACTCCACCGTTCTCTACTGCAGCATCATCAGGATTCCCTTCAACAATAATGCCATCAGCTGCGGACACTCAAATTCACTTTCCAAACATGACATTCCTCCACTCACATTTTCCACCATCAATCACTAATTCCGGCACCATGTCCCCTTTCTTCATCGGTAGCTGAATGCATTGCTAGGTTCTCGAGAGTATGGTTGACAAAGAAACTAGTAGGACTGGGTACAAGTAGTAATTGAATTGCTTGATTCTAGAGGTTTACTATTTGTCCTTTAATATACTAATTTTCTTCAATGTAAAGAAATGCCATGCCACACAGCGAAGGCATAATGAACTCTGCTTTACTGATTTGAGACTACTATAACGAGTTAGCATTTACTTTGGTATCCAACATTCAACCTCGGTGCTTTCTATCTTGAAAATACTTGAAAAGATGATGGTGATCTTTGACGAGACGGAATTCGTACAAATTTGAGCGCATGCTAAGTTCAATCCGTATTTGTGGGTCAGGTTTTGAATTTTCTTTCCTTCTGTTAGTTATTCGCCACTGGACAGTGTTTATTATTGCCGACATAACACTATTCACAATTTTTGGCTTGAATCCTATCACATGGTTATTCTTATATTTAAGGAACAACAAAGCTGTCTTGTGGTCTTTGCTAATGATTCCTCCCCTATCCTAGGTCGAAGTTTATACAATGGTTTTGTGCGCACGGTAAGACGTCCAAATCACTTTCCATTCCCATGTACATTATTTATTTTAATTCTTTCGCTATTTTTTTAAGTTTTACCCCTCGAACAAAAAATCTTTAGTATTGCATAATAAGCATCATTGTCAGAGAGTTCGGAAACACTGTCCGAGAAGATAATGAAACATGTTATAACAGCAAACCAAACTGCCGATGCATCATTGCCGACGTTTTGCAATCTTTTATAATAATATTAACACAAACCAGACAAACACGGTTTCCTATATTTCACTATTTTTATTACAGTCTATGCATCTTTCTTGTTGCGACTTTATTTTATTAAAAACAAAAGTCAAAATGTAGTTGATAAATCAATAAGTGATGCAACAACCTAACATCGATTTGAGGTAAAAGCAAAACTGAGCTCCAAATCGAGAATTAAACTCGTCATTGCACATGAGGAAGCAGAGAATGTAATGTATGGTTGGATGTTTTGAATGCTTAAAATATTGTGCAAGATTTGAAGTGACAGAGAATAATTCAATTTATATTTGGAAACGAGTTTCAAATGTGATACCTACAAAACAAATGCTATGTGGGTGCTACAAATTAACAAAACTTTTGGAAATTAGAATTTGTAGTTAACTATTCATTAAAAAGTACGTGTTTCATAACTAATATTAATGTGATGATATAAATTATAATAGAATTAAATTTATAAGAATACATTTGTTAATATGCACAATATTTATTTTTTTAATTAATGCAAAGACAAGAAAATGTTGCTTATATGTTCAACATATGTTAGATTCACTAATTCGTGGCTGAACCAACACTGTTTAGTACAACTACTTTTTCTACCATTAAATGAACACATGTCAGCAGTTCATCGAAGAGTTTCCCGTATACAAACTATAAAGAGTCAAAACCATGTTTGAAAATGAACGTGGTTTTACCAAAAAAAAAGTGTCAAACATAATTACGATATGAGACTACTCGTAAAATGGATTGTTTTTTTCGTAGTAATAAAAATTAAAGACCGATATCTGTGTACAAAGGGGAAAGAAATTACAAAAAATCTTTAGCATTTGATTATAATTTGGAGTATGAAATTAAATTAGATGTTACAAATTATAATTAGAATCATTGAAATTCTTCTAAAAATTGAAATTATAACTCCATAATTCATTATTTTAACATCTTGAAACACAATTAGTAACAAAAATCGCTTAACAACGATTTATTATTTTATCGTCAATGTGACTTACTTAAAATTAAAAAAAAAATTAAATTAGGAAAAATATACTTATATAAATATTTTTTTATTAATTTTAAATAATTATTACAAGTAACTCCCTCTATTGATCTACTAATGAAACTAAAATTAATTTTCAAACTCTTAACATTCTCTTTTAATTATAATTCTTAACTACACCCTTCAAATTAATATCCTCTTCTTTTTTTTTTCATTTTAGTCCTTCCACACCATTATTGTTTGTATATCTATGATTGAACTTATTTAATGATTTCAAGCATTTTGAAATTATAAAGTCATAATTTCAATTATTATTATTTTCATTGCTAAAGATTACTAAATACATTGTTAATGTTAGAACATTTATGAAGTCTCTATAAGTAGCAATTATTGATATCTAAGTTTTATTAGCAGAAATCTGATACACCATCAACAGAGTGAGAACATGGAAAATCTTAAAACTAAAGATTTTCCGTTTCTTATTTATTTTGTAGCAATGGCTGGAGCTTAGTGTTTCATAATTTTTAGCCTTTGTGTATTGTGTTAAGCTGAATATGTTTTGGTCTGTTTAACATGTTTAAAAAGTTATATATCTTACATTTGGTTAGCGATACTTTGAAGGCTATTAAAATGTCAGAATCTTCTATGATACATTATATTTCATGTGTTCTGTCTTAGTAACTATTAATGAGTTATTGATAATCTATCTTTCATAAAAACAAACATGGACAGAGGGTGAGAGGATCAAATTCACTACTTTTGTAAAAAAAAATCAGAATAACCAAATTAATCATGGAGGAAATATTCTTGCTTACGTAATCGACATCAAAATGTTTTCTCGTAAAAAAAATGACACGTGAAAGAAAATTGTCTAAAATTTTAAAATTAACTGGATAAAAAAATATTGTTTTATTTTTATCTGCTATAAATATATAACATGGTTAATGTTAATTATAATATAGGATATATTAATTTGTTTCTACCATGTTTTTAATATTTTACATGCTATCAAAAGAGATAAGTTAAGAGTGATGAGAAATTAAAAACATTGAAATATATAATATGATTTTAAGTAATGGTTTTATTTTACATTAACAAATATTTTTATATTTGTAGTTTTTTTTAGATTTTTTTTTTTTCAAAACTTCAACATTTAAGATTTGAATATTTCCTTTAGGTAAAAAGTTCAACTCAAACTTATTTTATTACTTTAATAGATAATAATAATAATTATTATATATATATATATATAATATTCGTTTATTCAAATTCTATAAACTTGATAAGTTTGGTTATCCTATCAGAATCATTTAACAACAAGAAGAGATTGAACCTTAATATATACGACGGGAGTACAAAACGAAAGATTAACGTGAAATTTTCTGTGAAATTTTCTGAATTCTTTAAGATAAATTACTTTAGATAAGTAAATTAAATTGAATTTCAACAAAGTCTATCTTAAAGAATTTTATTGAGTTGTTTAAAGATGGTAAATCTATTTTAAAACATCTATGCATACGTGATATATATATATATATATATATATATATATATATATATATATATATATATATATATATATATATATATATATATAATCTTCAAGTATTTTATGGAATATGTTAAAAAGGCATAAGGTTTAATGCTGACACATTAATATTATAATTGTGAAATTAAGAAATACAAAATTTCTTAAAATAATAAAAGTAACAGAAATGATTGAGACTTGACCATCAAGATCAAGTAATAAATTAATAAACATTCATATTTAAACAGTGGCTAGCAACCAATAATTGAAATTTTCCTTAGTTAAAATGATAAAGAAGATCAATATTTTAATAAAATAACAAGATAATTTTAAAAAATTACTTATAATATATTTACAATAATCAGACTATAGTATTGAAGAAAAAATGATTTAAAAATATTTGGTTTTTAACTTACATTTATATGGAAGTGAGTGGAAGTAATGTTTATTTTATGTTGAATTGATAAATAATGATAAAGATATATTATATGAGATGAAACCATTTTAGTAAAAAAATATATGGAAGAAACTAACATTAACATTAATAAATAAATATTTAAAAAAATGAAATTTATCTCTAACCATCTATATCATCAAAGTTTTAGAAAGATTTAAGATAAAGTTAAAAATTATTTTGTACAAGAAAAATATTTTATATAATTTTAAAAGTGTTGTGTACGGTGAGATTTACATTCTTCCTATTATAAATTTATTTGAAATTTCAAAAAGAGATAAGAATAATTAAGACATAGACCATTAAAACAATTTAAATTAAATAATAAAATATATTAAAGAAAAAAAAACTATTTACTCATATATAAACAAATTTATGATTTGAAGGTGATCGATAATCTACTTCAAACTTTACGGGATACCTATGTTCTAAAAGAATAAACGTGTTTATATTATTATACTACTTGATATATTTATATTTTGAAGGAGTGTAAAAAGATATTTTAACCGTTATTCTCACGATAAAAATAATGTTTTTTTTTAATATATAATATGATATATAATTAAAAAATTATATTTGAACTTTATAAATATAAAATTTTATTTATAACTCAATCTTAAGTTACACTAAGACAACTTTTATATATATATATATATATATATATATATATATGAATTTAAATAAATCTATTAAAAAATTATTTAATTATAAATAGAATAAAAAATAACTATTGAACAACCTTGTACTAAAATATATCATTATTTTTTTAAGAATTATCTAATACATAGTCTAATTTAATGATACAATATTTTTATAAATACATCTATCATTACATTTTTATTTTATATAATGTTCTTATTTAATTTGTTTATATATTTATTTAATTTTATTTTTATTTTTAATTTTGGTTATATATATATATATATATATATATATATATATACTAAATTTTTACCATAATGACTCCTACACCCTTCTGAATGTTTTAAATTTTTACCGTCATTGGCATTGCCAAATATAAATGAAAAAAAAAAATAACCAAAAAAAATACAAGAGTAAACGGGTAAATGAAAGAAAAAAAAGGAAAACAGATGACAAAAGGACAAGAGGTACGAGATTGAAAATGATTTGTTTTGAGAGGGTATTGTGGGGAGATGGGAAGGGATGATAAATTGCAGCCACGTGTAGAAGCAGGGGCTGCCAATGTCCCGTCCCTTTCCCTTAGATTGGATTAATTCCGCAATCCTCGGCTTTTGCCAGGGCCTCACTTCCGACGACTCACTCCAACATCTACGTTAAAAAAATAAAAAACACAACCACAATGAAGTAAACAAAAGGAAGAGGAACGAGAGACTAGGGTGTGGGGGACATGTGAAATAGGTAAAATGAAAATGCAAAATTGCATTGCAATGGGATACATGATGAAGGGAGAAGAAGTATGAAAAAGAGTGTACTTTGTATATGGTTTGTTTCTAAATGTGAATAGTAAAAAGTTGATTATTCTAAGAGGAACACAGTGGTTGAAAAGTAGGTGACCTATCAAATCCGTACCAAGTTACTGACCCTATCTCTCTGTCTCTATCTGTCCTTCTCTCCAAACTCCAAAGTTGCCAATGAATGGGCTAATCCCACCCTGTAAGTAACTTTCTTTGGTTTTTCCCTTTGTTCTCCTCTGTGCTATCCTATTCCCATCACTTAACCAAGTCACTCTTTCATCTCAACCTCTTCAATTTCTTCATTCATATCTCTTGCAGTTCCCGACATCATTATTCCTCTCCATAATTATAATTCTCTTTTTTACCTAAACATCAACCACACATCAATTTTACCTCCTCTACTATTATTGCATCACTTTAAACTCCAACTTCTTCAATTCATTCTCTTCTATTTGCTTAATAATATATAGCCTTCTTCATTTATAATATTTTATTTTTTTTAAATCTCGTAAATTAATTGTATATTTTTATTCAATTTTATAATTATCATAGATTTAATTAGAGGATAAATATCACTATTATTTTTTCTTTATTTTATTTATATTAGGATATTTTAAAAATAAAAAGAACAACAATTTTTATTATCTTAAAATGATTCCTAGACATATTTTTGTTCTCAGGCAAGTGACATAGTCAAAGGTTTTCTTTTCTGGACAACCATACCAGTGCACGGCTCCTTTTGACAAAATGTTGGGAGCGACACAATTTATTTGGAGTGAGAGAACGTAAAACAGTTTACTTCAAAAATAAATCCCCAGGTTAAATAAATTCAATTCACATGACATAAATATTGATTAATATTTGTGATAAATGTTTATCAATTAGTGTCTATGAAAGTCCAGAAATAAGAAAAAGGAAAATATTAAATTCTCAACCCTGGACACAAATAGTAATTATTTTAATTTTTAGCCAAGTGTTCTAGATTTGTGAGTTTGTGTGTGTCTTAAGGTTCCAAAAAAACATTCATGAGAAAGGGAAGTAACAATTGAGTAAGAGTTGCAGCAGTTTTTAAGATGTAAAACAAACAAAAAGATAAACCCAGCAGGATCGAGAGGTCAATTCAAGAAGGTTGTGTTATCATTATTGTGTTTAGTCTATTGAGAAGAAATGTGAGAGGTTAACCTATTTTCAAGAGTAGCATATGAGCACAACAAATAGGTTAGGTTATTATACCTCCTCTAACTTGGCCTCCTACTAGGTCATTTTGATCCTACTCTCGTCACTATTAATGAAACAATCTTGACTTTGTTAGATTGACAAGACTTCTCGTCTCATTCACGTGAAAAACTAATTTAATTTGGATACTTATACTTTTTTTTTCTTAATATATATATATATAATTGTTATGTAAAAAAATAATTTTATTTGATACTTTCTTACTCCCACACATAAATATAATCTAATTTTTTATACTTTAGCACTATCAATACTTTTGTGTTATATATGAACTAATTAAAAATTTCTTTGTATATCCACAACACAAGTACTCAATAGTGTTATTAATTTATTATTAATTATATTAAAAATTATATAAAATAATTTATATTTAGTTAAATAGTTTTAAAATTTATATTAGATGTATGCCATATTAAGTAGGAGAGATTATTTTATTTGAGGGAGCGAAATAAATAATTACTATAGTACTAAATTTCGTTATAAATAATAAAAGTTAAAGCATGAAGATTTTCAAGAGTGACATTATATTTTACATAATGAAGAAAGTAATCATAACTATCTATGTTTAAGTATACATTTTAAATTTTTTTAATTTATATAAAATAAATTTTAATATGTATATATAATTTGGGTGACGTTATTAAATGTGGTCCTGATACTAAACTCTGGAGAGTAACTTAGTTGAAATAGTTGGACATTATTGGGCTTCGTTAGTACATTAGAATTGGGAAACAACCTATCCTTAACATGCATTGAAAACGACCTCTTTTGATAGTTACCTTACACGAATAGGTAGTTGCACCTACTCATTTCAAAATATTCATTTTTTCTATTTAACAAAAAAAAAATCGTTTTTTTTTTAATGAACCACTTATTTCATAACCACAAAATAACAAAGGTGGTTCTAATTTAAAATAATTTTAAGTAAATAGTTCTACTAAAATTTCAAAAAGGCATCACAATTTATTTAAGTATGTGTATTATATAATTTTTCATATTTCGTGTAAACTTTTCTTCATGCAAATTTTATATAAAAGTTTACATGAAACAACCAATTTGTAATTCTTATATGGATTTTGTAAAATTAAAAATAAAAATTACAAAGAAGTAATATTCATGCTGATGACTCAAAATAAAGTTCGACGGTTAGATTTATTAAGAGTATCAATCACCTCATTGTGGATTAACACTGCATAAAATATTTGTAATTATTTTATACAGTAAAAAGGAATATCATTAGTCACCATCAAACAAACTTAGATTTTGTGCATGTCTTGTGATAGAAACTTAAAATTTGTTCATACAAAAATTATAACTTTAAATGAGAATAACTACATAAGTAAGTCAATAATTGTTTAACGTAAAATTGATAAAACAAATATCAAGGCATGTTCATTGTTCATTCTTCACTCAAACAAAATCCTAGAGTTGAAGTCCATTGGTAGTATCTGAAATGTGAAAAAGAAACAAATCTAAAACTGGTTTATGATTAGCACCGCACCTTGCTGCTCATGTTGCATTGAGCATTGACCGAAGAGTCATGCAGGTTAAACTGAGAACTATTCCAAACAGAGCAAAGCATATGCATGCAGATTCCGTGAACATGGAAAGGCCCAACCAACCAAACAAACCACCGTACCACAGGTAAAACGAAAGCTTCAAAATTGAATTGAATGATGAAAGTGGTCCTTTCCTTTTCTCAAAAACCCTAGCAGGTAGCCCTGGATTCTTTGTGTTGCAGCCTTTTAGCACATTACTTTTGCACATAGGAAAGAAAGAGATTGAAGGGGTTAAGGTTAGGATGGAAGAGGGGTTCCATGTCCTGTCCCATGCATTGTCGTTGGATGTTGGACACACCCTGCAACATGTGGGTGTCGTGTCATGTGGAAACAAGCATAACCCTTTTTTGCCTTCTAATGAGTTTCTCTTGTGACTCACTATCCATGTCTCTTCTACTCTCTTCCTTTCAACCCAAACATGGCCCTTGAATTGTCAAAATTATACATATATAACCAATGTTGGTGCTACCACCATGCATGCATGTCCACACTGCGTCCTTCGACTTATCTTCCACGTTTCAACTTCCGCATATGATGTTTTTCTGCACTCACTGACTTACTACACATGCGTCTTGCCTTTCAAGTTGTAAAGTGGTTCCAACCTTTAACCATTGGGTATTAATATTGGTACTGTGTGATGTCAAGGATTTTGTTGGTGATATAGCTCTTAACATTAAACCGAGTTATCAAACGATCAAAATGATTTTTTTTAATAAACATCTTTGGTTAAAAAAAATATGTTGATCGAACATTCTTTAACACAAAATAAACGTATTAAGATGGGATTCACAAAATCATAATAATTTCGAATAACATTTTTTTGTGTGGATATTTTGAAAGTGTAAATATTCACACTCACAATTTTCCTAATACATTATATTATATAATTCTCTTTTCTCTCTCTAAATATCTGCTAATACGGGGTGTCCTACTTCCATATCTATCGTTTTCCAAAGAATTTCGGAGAAAATTAGAATCCAGTACGTAGATAACGTTGAAGTAAACTCGCACGATTCCCTTTTACGTGCAAGTTGTATTTAGTATTTATTTATTTTCTGGGAAAAACGAGTTAAGAAAACCATATTACGTTGAAGATTTTAGGTAGTACATAAGTGTGGTTCGAGGAAGCAGGTTTTGTCTGTTGCCATGTCACACATCAGCGAAAGCGTACGAAAGGACGTTGGTCTCGCACCGCACAAATTCATTGTACATTTATTGTTTTACTTACATTGTTTGTTACAGTAATTTCATGGTTTAGGTTTACCTATTTTTCATCGTGTTTTGCCATCAAAAGCAAAATCTATTCGGAAATGCTGAGAGGTTATTAACTGTACTCTTTTCTTACCGCACTATTATATGACATTTACTTTCTTGTTTTTCTTTCCAAATTTTAAACGAAATATCTTTATTTTCCATTTTAGGAGCAATAGATGCTTCAAATAAGAAAGTTACATGGGTGACAATTCGTAGTACCATTTGTAACTAAAGTGAATAGGAAGGAGATCTGCATAAACCAGATAATACAGTCTTTCCATGGAACCCACCTAAGTTAAGAAATCTAAAAATAACATCTTTAGAATGAATATTCCTTGAACAAAAGACCCAATACCTGGTTGAAAGGTACATTGATTTTCATCCATGAAAATTAATACGATAATCAATATATTTACTTAATTCATTAAAATTACCATTAAAAGTATCATTGAAGCTAATATATAAAAAAAGGTAAAAAACATATTTTCGACAACAATTGTGCCCAGATTAATCCGTGTACAGAAGTAACTTCACCCTGTGAGTACATATATAATATCATATAGATTTCAAAAGGGAAACCAAAAGATAAATTGGATAAGTATGAGTACAAAATTTGGGCTTTCTGGTTGGTCCTGCCCCACTCTGCTATATACGTCCAATGTATGCATATATAGTACCAAGAGTCCAACACATAGTTCCTCCACACCTGTACCCCCAAAAAGAATTGAGACCATTTGCTACAGCCCCTCAAATTAAGCAACAAAAAAAGAGTTGAAGGCATTGCCATGGTTTATTTAATAGAAATGTTGCAACGAACTTATAAATTATAAAACTTAAAGAAGTCTTTTAAAGTGAAACATGCTAATGTTTTATATAAATGTTATGTATAATCTCTTCCCATAACTATTTCGTGAAATTATTGAATCCTTTTCCCAGTTTACCTTATCATTCACAAATATTTAGAAGATTAGCAAGCCAATATCTACTTATTGACATCATGCTAATAAATTTTACATGCGTCATTTTTAGAAGTAAAAAACAACTAATTCCGGCATGATTTGGAAATCTTAAATTTTGCGAAGTTATGAATTGTTGCATTGACAGCTAATGTATAGCATCATTTTGGCCAGGACTAAACTGAGGAAGGAAAGTTCATCCCATTTCAAAAGAAGCATCATTTAGTGTTCTACCAGCATAAAAATTTGATGAAAAAAAAAGTTTCACCTCAAATTTCTGAGTGTAGTTTGCTTGACAGCACAACACTTGGTTATTTCTCAATTAGAGTATCCTTGTTTTCCGTTAAACCATTTGATGCAAAGTTCCCTCTCGAAACAAGCAATTTCTACATATGAGATGCTTCATTCATGGACTTTCCTCAAAATTGTTCTTTTAAGGGTGTGCACAGTTCTTCAGTTTCATCCAACAAATTAAGTACTTAAATAATGAATCTTCCCGTGATCCAATTCTAAAGAAAAAATATTAGATGTAATGCTACTGTCTCCCATGTCTGAAGCAACTTTATAAACATTTCCTTCACTTGTCACCGGTTTTCATTTGTATTAACAAGTTTGAACAAATGATATTGCTGGTTACAAATTTGATCTTGCTAGCAAAGATAATGGCTTGATTTAATAACATCATGAGACTGACAAGGTGGACAATACCCTGATGATAGTTTGTCAATGCCCTTGCAAAAGTTTGGTTGTTCATATAATTTTTTAATACCTTCCAAAATGAAATCTTCAGAAAAATCGGCTGTGGTCGAATGCTCTTTAGAAGATCCATTATTTTGGTGCAAATTCTGTCTAATAGAAGAACTTACTGAGTTAAGCATAAAGGTAGTACCTCATTCAGAACAGAGTAAGAATCTTCAAGATCACAGTTGCCAATAGATGATAAAAATCTGAATATTAGTCTCCTCGAACATCCCAATTCGAATTAGGACCAAGTGACCAACTATTTTGTCCATATTGAAATCACTGTGGATGGGAGAGTTTTGGTAAGCTATTGCTCACAGTAGGTGCTACCATAATTGCCTACAAAAGCTGCTAGAGAAATTTCAGTTAGAAAATGCAGTGGGAAGAAGTTTCTCCACTACAACTACGGCAACATTTGAGTCCACTTTTTGAGAATTTTCATCAATGTAATGCTTTTTCAACTTTGGAGGTACCAACCACCAAATTGTATTTTCATAAATATTTTAAGCCTCCTTTGATCTTCTCATGTCAAGAACAGGCCTTTCAGTGGTACCAACTACAGGCACAAGGACCTGTGTGGACCACCATTAGACAAACCAAATAGCCAGAACTTAATGAAGTTGCTTCTGGAGGAAGGGAACACACATAACCCTATTACAAAATACCTATATTTTCATCATTCGAAATGTCACAACACAAAATAGTGTTGGAACTTGGATCACCAACACAAATTGGTAACCAATAAATCACTGTAGAACTCAGTGTCCTGTTACCCGAACTTGATCCCTTCATCTGATTCTCGATTTTCTGTTCTTATATAAGACACTTGAGGTTAAATAAATATGTTATCTCACTTTCAATGAAGACACATATTCGGTGAACAAATATGACAATTGCAAGAACACATAATCTTAGAACAAATAAGTTTACCAAAGAAAGTTATGTAAATGGAACATACATCAAAAGAATGTTTGGAAACTCGTTTGGAGGTTGAAAACATATTTCTAGGAATTAGGATCATGTTGTCGTGGAGGCAAAACATTTCCTGAATAATTAAATTATATGCAACATTGATACAACAATTTGGACTCTATTCCTAGAACATCTGAACAGGTTTAATGACTAATGTTATTTAGTGTCAGAATTTTTACAGGTTTAAAAGGTTACTATTAACAAGTATCAATAAAAATTGACTGAAAAATTAGTAGATTATGAATATTTTAGTAGATCAAACTTAAAAAATAAAAAAAATTATGTTTAAAGCTGAATTCTGAATCATTTTGTTATCATTTATTATCCAATTGCATCTAAGTTGGGTAATTATGCCCGTACAGCTTGGGTTCTGGCAGTTTATGGAAATTTTTAACATGGTAACATTAACGTATGTAAAGTCATTGATAACAGTTAAAGATATACATTCATAAATATTGCTTTAGCATTCTAAATATTTTCCAGTAGAGAATTATTTTGAAAAACACAAACAAAACAGTTACCAATTAATCAAGAGATGATCAAAGACCTATTCAGTCATACACAAGTTTATTTTGAGGTCATATATATATGATTTTATTCAACTCGAAAAGCATAATACAAGGAAGTATAAAGCACCCACCAATATGTGGCATAATTTAACCAAACACAATTCTGCAAACACTTAGCCTCATTTGCTAACAGATGAGTAGATTACGTTGCTGTGGAACATGAGACAATAAATAAATAAAATTAAAACCTTCAGTTATTTCTGTACAATCCTCTTGCAAGTAGGGGTTTATATGGACTTTGTTGGGTCGATTTTGATAAAACTCATGGTTAAGTTATAGAAAATCTTGGTTGTGTTGAGTTTAGTTTTGTATTTTGTATTTTTTTTTAAATTTTTTTATATCTGGTCAAACTTAAAACATCATTGAAAGGATTAAATTGAGTTGGATGAATTGAGTTATAAATTTTTAAAAATCAATTTTTTTATTAACTTTTAATTTTAAAATATATTTTTTAGATTTTTAAGAATGTTTTTTAAATATAATAAATTATTTATTATCGGAATAATTTAATATTTTAAAAATACATACTTAGTTAATATAATTTTAATAAATATATTATTAATGTTAAATTTATTTAATAATTTTAATTTAGTTAGTTAAATTAATTCTAGGAATGAAGATACAAAATTCGTTACCTAATGTACGAAATTAGGTTAATTTAAATTGGATCGGATTTAACTTAATCATATACAAAACTCAATATATTTAAATTGAATTGGGTAGGCGTGAGCACTCATCCCAATAAACATTTCTAACTAAAAATATATATTAGACTTTTACATTTTTTTCATTAACTATATATATAAGAGTATCAATTGACAAAATACTAAACACAATCACCTCGAACATGTTTTTAAGGGAACAAAATTGGTTGACAAATGA